TTGCTGGAATAGAAAAGAAACCTTTGGCAGTATTCAGAACCATGCCAATGCACATTTACTGACAGGAAAAAGAAGCTGGCCATTGCCATTGACTGTGACTTCATCCCTTCCTTCCTTCCTTCCTTTCTTTCTTACATTCTTTATTTCAATACACACCCACACAGAGTTTTGAAATTTAATACACATCATAGCCGAATTCCAGTTAACCTAACAATAAATCAGCAGGCCAAATCGATTTCTTGATACAGTCAGATGCAGAGGCCATTTAATTCTGTGGTCTCCTGCATTATGCCTGACCAGATTTCATGGCAGCTGGGGAGGGGGGTGATGGCAGGCGTCCCTCAGAACAGGAGCTCTGATCAAGAGCTGCCTGGGAGGGAGATCGTGGGGTGATGGTCTCCGGTGAGCTCCTGCCAGGGGAGGTAGGCAGCTCCCATGTGAGTCCTTGGATGCTGGGATGGATCATAGAATCATAGAATTGCCCAGGCCGGAAGGGACCTCCAAAGGTCATCTAGTCCGACCTCCCCGCAGTCAGCAGGGACATCCCCAACTAGACTGGATGTTGTGGAGCTGAGTGCCATGGGGAGAGGAGCCGCATGATGCTGCGGGGACCAGGCTGGGAAAGGGAGTTTCCCTCCCAAGACATAGTGTTACAGAAGATCCTGAGATGGGAGAGCAGCTGAGAAGAGGCTTTGGCTGAGGAGCAGGGGATGAAGTGGATGGGGAGAGGGTAGCGTGGTGGCTCAGTGGTGTCCACCGGCTCTTGCTGCAGTGGTGCCCAGGCGCAGGAGAGGCAGAGGATGGGTAAGGAGGGTTTGCTCTGCTGAAGCAGGGAGCAAGAGGAAGGTGTAAGCGCTCCTGTAGTTGTCGGAGGAACATCTCAGTGTGCTTATCACTAGCATCTACCAAAATCATTGCCTGTCTATGCTTTTCTTTAATCTGATTCCTTAGATGACACTTTGCAGCTTGTTTTAGATTAGAAGATTTTGTAAGAAGAACCACCTGGGCATGCTGAAGTTGATGATGTCTGGCTGAAATGCCATTGCATGGAAGAAAAAGCTGAGGGAAAATAGGACAGGACATGCGGCAGAGAGTCTGAACATAAAATGGAAAGGGCATGCTCCCCAGCAGGGCTTAGGGGGGTTTGCCCGTGAGTTCGAGGTCAGTCCCGGCTGATCCCCTTGCCTTTGAATTTTGGGAGTCAGGTGAAGAAAAGGGGGACCATTAGGCTAGAATTGCACTGCACCAGGATTTGGCAAAAAGGGAAATAATCATAGGATCTCAGGAAGATCTCTAAGAATCACCTAAGTGTTGATGGGGAGTGACTAGCAAACAGCAGCAGTGATCAGCTTTCTTCTGTTTCTGAAATATGCTTAATGCTCCCTCCTTTCAGGTCTAGTTAAGAGGAGCTTTCTGAATCTGATTTGCTTCCCACTTACAGGTTAATCAAAAGTAGGAACAATAATGGGAAACTTCCAAAAATCTGCTTCTTAGGGACAAGCATTCGTTAATATAATCTGGCTGCTGAAAGTCCACTGAAAGCTGGACCTTTTGGCCAGAAAATATCAGCAAAAAAGCTACAAGAGTTTATTTTCAGGTTTGGGGTTTTTTTTATAATTGTGATATTGAATTTCTCTCTTTGGTCGATTGGAGCAGAGGCTTAGAGCTTTAGAACAGGAAAAGCAGCTTTATTTGAAAAGGGTTAGAGGACTCTCTTATTTCTTTACCTCTGCCTGGGCCACAGTAAATGCAAGCTTTACCTGGGGTGCTTAAATCAAAATGGCTACTTCTGACCTTATGGAAAGGCTGGGAAATGTCTCAATTACAGCAAATTTTCAGTAGGAGTGTGTCTTTTCCACTGAACAACATGTTCATTTCAAAAAAATGCTTCTACAGATTTTTTAGTTGAAAAGCTGTGGCTCAGAATTGGAAAAGCTGTAGCTGATAACTGAAACATTTTATTTTGGAAGCACCTTCCCACTGTCAGTTGTAGTTAAAGTATGTTTTGCACAAAGCTTTTCTGTGGAGGAGAGTCCCCAGATGACATGGCCCATAAGTAAGCCCATGAAAGAGAATAAGAATACAAGCACCTAAACTGCAAATTCTCTGGGGTGCCACATTAGGGTCTCCAAATAAAACAATGCCAGATTTCAGATTAAAATTTTTGTCTGGCAGTTTGTTTTGCTTGAAAGTCTGCATTTTCATCAGGTTAAGGTAAAAACAGGCACCTGCATCATCTTGTAGCCACCTCAATTAATCAGTAATAAAAGCCCAGCATGCGTTTTGTAAGAATTTCATTGATGATGTGTGAGACTGAATAAAATCCAGTTTCTTTTCCTGTAGTTCTTGGGGCTGTTCACTTTTAATTCAATAAAATGAGGCTTGGGAAGAGAAAGGGGTTAAAAAGTAAAGAAAGTGATCTGACCTTGAATTGCTACAAAGATCTTGGGAATAGGAAGGCCCCATCTAGGCTAAGTGATACAGAGTGTTCTTGCCAGGCATGTGCCTGGATCAGCAGTGGTCCAGTGCGCACCTGGCAGAAGTCTTACTCGGTGTTTGATAAATTGTCTTCTCCCAGCATGAGTTAAAGTAATGAATCTTTTATTTCTAAATTACTACAAGCCTCCATAGTCTTATAGCCTAATTTTTTTTTTTTTTTTTTTTTTGTCTAGTTTCACGTAAGTAATGCGATCTATGCCTTACCTAAGGAGTTTAATGGTATCATAGGCTTAATCTTTAAAATGCTGTGGAGGAGGGGGAAGCTTTGGTGTCAAGGGAAATAACAATCCTGGCAGAGAGAAAAATATCAGTAGGATGCTGCCACTGATTTGGCAGAAACTGTTTGATGCGTGCTTTGTTAGCTGGCTGTTGATTTTCTTTTCTGGTTTTATGCTTTTTTTGTTACGTTTGAAGGTGCTTCCAAAATACTGGGTTTTAACTAGGTGCCTTTATTCAGATACAGCGAAATCCAAAAGAGTACAGAGGAAAAAAAGAGGAACCATAAATCGGTAATGAGAAAACTGAGAGCTGGGGACACATCTGAATGAAATTAAATCCCCGTCCAGACAACACGGATAGTGCTCTGTAGAGCTGTGCCTGGTCGATTGCCTCCTTCGCCGTGTGGTGCAGGCAAGAGGACCTGTTGCACATGCTTTCCAAGACACGCACAGCTACTAAAGCCCTTCCTCATAAAATGAGTAAGTTAGCGCCTGTGTGTGAAGGTGCACTCCAGAAACTTACTTTCTGAACAGTGTGGTGTCTGCCTGCAGCAGCGACCATCTGGTGCCCAGAAGCAGCCGGAGGAGGCTGCGCTGGCAGGCAGCGCAGGGAGTGGACTGGTGCTTCTCCTCCTCCTCCTCCTCCTCCTGCCAAAAGATGCAGGTGTAAGAGCATAAAACCTGCCCTACCAGAGCAGGTCCATTTAATGTACCCATCGGGATCGACAAATGCCTCTGCTTGTTGCTTTAAGAAATACTGTAAAAAGTCATCCCAGCATCTCATTTTCTAGCTGGGGTTGGGAAATGGAGTGTTTCTGCTGGGCCACTCCACCTTCTCCCTGCAGAAAGCATCCGAGTGCTATTCTTATGCACAGGAATATCATCCAGAAGTACAGACTTAAGGAACACCCTGGGGAATACCAGGCTATTTTATTAAACATGCTTTTACTTTTTCATTGTCCCTGTAGGACACCCCATTGACAGCCAGAGTACAGAGCGGGGAACAGACTATTTGTAGGCATATATATGCAACAGAAAACCATGTCATTTTTTAAAAAACATCTCTGAAAAGAAAGACTGTTATGAAAGGTTGACTTTACAGCACCCCGTTAACATCCCCTGTGGTATGCGCTGCTACATATTTGCACCAAGGCCTGCAAGTGACTTGTAGCTCAAGCTAAATAAAATTTAAATTGGCTGAGGATAATACAGCAAAGCACTTTTTCTCCCTCAGAATGGGTTAAAGAGCGATTACAGGAGCAAAGCAACAGCAGTGTCCCACACAGTTACCCCCTGCTCTGTGGGACTCAGCAAGAAGTATCCAGGGAGGGCAAGGGCAAGGGCTGTGTAAACTGGTATTTCCACCCAAAAATCCATTCATGCAATCGCAGCCTGGGTGAGAGAATCTTGCACCAGCGCAAAGTGAACTCTGTGAAGAATTCTTTACAATCAAGTCATTTCCATCAAATAGGTTTCTCTTTTCTATCACGCCAAATGATTAACTTTTAAGGGGTTTTTTTTTTTTTACTCTTGCGCTGTGATTTTTTTTTAAAGTTGGTTTCTTTCTTCTAATGAGAGTGAAAGCCTCAGAACTCTTTTTAGTTCTAAAAGCAAGATTTGAGGCATTCTGCCTATTCTGCTTTTCCACAGGGACATTAATTCATAAGCAACAAAGAACATTATAACTGTTTACAGTAGCCTTCAGTGAGCAGCATGAGACTTGGGGATTTTAAAGAGTGAGAGTATTTGGTTACAGAATCAAAAGCTAAACTAAAAGCTTCAAACTCAAAAATGTTTGGAGTTGCTCAAACAAACGCAATGAAAAATTTTCAACTTGCCAACTTTCAGAACCATGTGAATCTTCAAGCTTGTTTTGTTTTGTTTATCTTCTGAGCCTCAGAAACCAAAGCAACCCTAAAGGTCAAAATATCCAATATTTTACCTTTACACATGTCAAGTTTTACTCGTTTAAACACATGGTCCTGCTTACATAGGTTATTTTGCAAATGAACAGATGCTGCTTGATGGTGTAAGAGGTACCACGGGTTTCAGCTGAGCTTCAAGAGAACTGAAGTTGCCTCCTCTGACATAATGGCCTTACCCTCACACGCATCCTAGTTTTCCTGTAAGATGCAGGGTCCAGTGTTATGCAGCAGTCAGCTGCAGTCATTGGGGTAATTTGGTCATGGATGATCAGTTTGCTTCTAGCTGAAAGTGACTTTAAGAAGGAAATTGGTGCTGGCTTGAGTTTCTTTAAAGGTGTTGCCTGTTTTGTTTCCCCAGTGTGTTTCTCAGCTTCCCTACGGCAAAGCCCTCTACACGTATGAAGGAAAAGAGCCTGGTGACCTCAAGTTTAACAAGGGGGACATCATCATACTGCGGCGGAAGGTGGACGAGAACTGGTACCACGGGGAGCTCAATGGGAACCACGGCTTCTTCCCCGCCAGCTACATCCAGTGTATCAAGCCCCTCCCGCAAGCTCCACCTCAGGGCAAAGCACTTTATGACTTTGAAATAAAGGATAAAGATCAAGACAAGGATTGCCTGACCTTCACCAAGGTAGGGAAATAGGTTTGGGTTTTGTAAAAAAAAAAAGAAAAAAATTAAAAATATTTAGAAAGCTGCTTCTGTAGGGACTGATGGAGCAGGTGGGGTGCTGACCTCTGAGCCTGGAGTACAATTGTGCTGGGACCATCTACACATGGGACATCTGCACGGGCTTCCCGGTCAGCTCTGCTCAGGAACACCCTCCACTCCATTTGTTTCTTTCAATTGGTTTCATGTATGAGAAAATTAAAGCCCTTTAACTCAGGCAGCCTAGTGGGGACAGGCTGAAGGGGCTGAATTTCCTTTATTAAGTGTGACGTCCCCGCATGTAACGTGCTGAAGGACACTGGTTTCTTCCAACTTGTAAATCCTCCTCCCTGCAGAGGCAGAGTCTGCCTAATTGACCTGCATTGTCCCATGCACCAGCCATGCTGCAGGAATGGATGGGTGTAAAGCCTCCCCTGGGGACAAGTGCCATGTTGGCATCATTGGGAAATTGCTCCCATTTGATCTAAAGGAATCATAGAATCATAGAAAGGTTTGGGTTGGAAGGGACCTTAAAGATCATCTAGTTCCAACCCCCCTGCCATGGGCAGGGACACCTCCCACTAGAGCAGGTTGCTCAAAGCCCCATCCAGGTTGGCTTTGGACACCTCCAGGGATGGGGAATCCACAACTTCTCTGGGCAACCTGTTCCAGTGTCTAGAGAAGGTAGAGAGATAGCTCGTGCCATGTAGAGCAAGGTTGGTATAAAGCCAGTGAAGCTCAACAGGTAGAACTGGCTACACACTTTCTGAGAACATTCCTCTGTCTGAAAAGCACACATCTCATCTGCATTGAAACGTTCAGCAAGAATGACCTAATTTCAGAAAAAATCTAATGGAAATGTGTCTAGCATTTCTATTTGAATGAGATGTTCCAATGTTTTAAAATGCCATTCAGCTTCAAAATGTATATTGCATCATACCATATACCAAATAGTAGTTGAAATACACTATTGTCATATATCACAGTATTTCCTATTTTAAGAACACAAAGACATTAAAAAGCAGACATTTAAAAAAAAAAGTCTTTGTGTTCTTAAAACCAAAAATGTTTAATAAATTCCATTTGGAATGAGAGAAAACGGAGATACTGCAATTTCCTTTGGATTTAAAATGTCACGTTTTTCCTTTCTCCCCCACCTCCCCACCTGCTTTCTGTCTCCCCTTCCCCTCCCTAGCAATTTGTGTTGACCTTAGATGGGCTTCATGGATATCAAGAAACCCACCGTAAAATAAAGCATATCCCCTAATGTGAATTTATGGCACTGAATGCCACAGAGAACCTGTTCAATGTCATTTTCTGTTTTATTTCAGCTGTCTGTGGTTGTTATAGTATTACATAAAGTAATAACAGTTATGCTGGAAATGAATATGAAATAGATGATAAAAATATCCTTCACTAGGATTTTACTGACCTCCTCTTTTGAGGCTATTTATTATAGCTGAATGAATTATTTGCAGCATATAATTTTCTTGCCGAATGTAACGTCTTTTTCACTTGTGCAACTTTTCTCAGCAGAATGCAATTTCCTAGAATGTATACTTTCTCATATTGATTTAACAAAAGATTTGTAAGCACTTTTGCTCTATAGCAAGCAAAGCGTTTGCTTGGAAACACTACAAACCCTGCGACTACCCAGCCTCCCTGGAGCTGTGAATCTCTGCAAGAAAACGGGCTGCTTAGTAAGAAGCAGCAGCCATGCACAAATAGAAAGTTAGCCAGACTTTGAGATCCTATCAGTAAATATATATTTGCTGGCACATTGTTTTCCTCACTGCTTGCCTAGAGCTACAATGGTGACTTTTCTGAGAAGCAGTTTTCCTTGGCCACTTAAGGTATCCATTGCTTGCTCAATCTAAGAAACTTAATAGGTATGGTAGGCAGTCGTAGCCTTCTTTGTTAGAACAGGTCCTTGCTCAGACACTTTTGTATTTGATATATTTGGTGCTATATATTAGTATACCTCCCTTACAATAACTGTCTTTGTATACTGATAGTTCTCATTTTCTCGGCTGTCCAATGTCATTCTCACATGTAGCATTTCTTTCTGCTGTACAGCTCTACTCTCAATACCTCAATTTTCCTGTTTTGTACCCCTCGTGTTGCTGTCTGCATCCTTTTATCCCTGATGACTGTGTTTTCCCCAAGGGGGTTTGGTTTCTCTTCTACTGCTATTTTCTTCCTTAGCTCCTTCCACTACATGCACTGTCACCTTGTAACTGTTTTTATGTCTTGCCTATTGTTCTCCCTGACAGTGAATAATCTATTTTTCATCTCAGGACTTTACCGTTATGTTTTCATCAGTTTTCTCAATGCTAATTTTAGCTGTCACCTGCACTGATGAAGGTTCCTGTTTAGCCCAGATTTTAGATCATCTGCTGATTCAGTCAGTTCCTCTGCACAGAGTCATGAGCCCTGCGTTGCTGTAGATGTGATTTGTCACTCAGAGCAATATTCATCATTTGAATGTCTCAGTTTGCATCTGAAGATGCTGGACCTGATCTCAACTTCATATACACTATTTGTTCTTTCCTCAGCTCGAGGGATTGTGCCGACATACAGTTTATACAAACTGATATAACCTATTAGTGTCCTGCAATGCATTTAGTGATTTAGTGCTACCAGACACTTATAATGGGATTTTCCTTACAAACATACAATTAAGAAGAGTTTTGCTCTGAAGTGGAACTACAAGAAGGGAAATCAAACATAGCGATTGTATCACTATGTTTTGTTCCTCTTTTGCTGGGCTTTGCTTTTTCCCAGGCCCTGTGTTATGATGCATTCAGCATTATCTATTGGTGCAGTAAAAGAAAACAAAGGAAGGATATTTGGGTTTTCCTCTTACAAGTTTTTTTGTTTTTTTTTTTTCAAAATTAAAACGTCCTGTTTTTCCAGAGGTGAATTGCAAGGAAATGAAGTCTGCTTTGCGCTGATCTTCACGAGCAGTGCTGCAGAGGGGTTCTGCCATTTACCGACTTTCATCTCCTGATGAAATAATACTCTCCAGATAAAAGGCCAAAGATAAATCAAATATAGTAATTTTGTATCTGTAAGTATAAAACTATGAAGGGCAAAGAAACCTCGTTCTTCTGTATCCAGTGCAACAAAGAAAGCTCCAACCTGTTGTTCTCTTAAACCAAGTGGACTGCTTCCCCTAACTCCTCCTCCCAAAGTAACCGTATGTAGTCATAGGACCCACCACTGTTTCCTCCTCTGCAGTGACTACAAGAAGATAAAGCATCCCAGATCTGTCACTTAACATATTTTTCCTTGGTGTTTGCCAGTGATCAGCCAAATCAGTCCATTAGCAGTTGTTTTGCTCTCTGTGATGACGGCTTCCAGCATTGTCTCAGCTTTGCACCAGTTTAACTTCAGTAGCTTCCAAAGTTTTAATCCTGATGTTCACTATCCTGGTTGAAATTGCCATGTGGCCTACAGAGTCTCATTGCATGCCCTCGGGGTATACTCATTTAACTCAACTTTTTAATGTCTCCTTATGTGATACTCCAGTTGAGCCTGGGCTCTTGCTGTCTCTGTTGTAAAAAATAACCCATCCTCCCTTGGGCTACGCACTGTCTGGTACAAGCCTTGCCCAAGAGGGCACTGTTTTCAGCTATGGAGTAATTGCATTGCTGTCTATTTGCGTAGTTACTCCAGCTTCAGACTAAGTGCAAATTCGGCCCACACTTTTGTTTTGGTGTTTGGCCATCCTTCGCATGCATGAGTTCACGTGGCCCTTTGAAGGCTGAGTCCTTTTGAAAGTAGATGAGTCTCAAACCTGTCAAGGTAGCATCAACTGTTTCCCGTGCTTTATTGCTCATCACATTTTTAATCTCTTCAACTATTTCCTTCGTTTTCCAACACTTTGTTCCCAGCCGAGAAGAGCGTTTAACATATGTTGCACCAATCTTGGAGCCATCACATCCAGTCCTGGTTCCTGGCTGGGGAGCAGTATCCCAGCCCCTTCACCCTCAATTCCAGCAGCATTTGCTGTTCACAGAGGGACCGTCCCGGTGATTGGGATTCTCGTGCCAGCTGGCAAGTGTTGGTAGCGGGTGCACCAAACCCCGCACGGTGCCATCCTTCCATCGCTGAGATCTGCCCAGTGCTCTAGATGGAGTTGTTATCTCTGCAGAATAGCGAGCGCATCTGCTTTGCATTGCTTCGTTAATGGCCGTTAATGACTAGAGTAAAAATCAGGCTGTGAATCACGGCTGTTATTGGACACAATTCTTTGCTGTTTGCTCAGCAAAAGGGTTCATTTCTCCGTCAATCAGATGGCTTTTTATGTGATTTATCTTTGACTTCCTTTCTGATAATGGTTATAAACTGGAACTGCAGGTCCCACGTGTCTGTCGCAAGGCTGCCCGGTCCTGGTGAATAGAGAGAGAGACTCGAGCAAGTAGGAGAGAGCAAATAATTAGAGACTTTAGCAACAGGCATAAAAAGAGCGCAAGGTATCTTTGTCGAACTACAGTGGATACCATTGGCTTTTGAAATGAGATTTGAGGCTTGGATTCCTTTATGCTGCCTGGAAATCAATTTAGTAGATGTGAAACAGTGAAGTTCAGAAAGTTGAAGTGGTATGCCAAGAGATCTGTGGCTCTTTACTATTCATGATCCTTTTGGGAACCTTTCTAGGAATTTATAAGTAGCATGGCTATCCAACTAATTTAAGGTACTAAAATAGTTCATGTTGAAGCTTTCACCAGCCCAGTGTATAGAATGATGTCGCGGGCTGCGAATTCAAAGAAACTTTCTATTAATAAGGAATTTCAAGAGATGTTTCGGGATTTGCTGTAATTCCTGGAGATTTTCAACACCCTTCTGAAAATGAATTCCGTAATGTAAAGCATTCTCAAGGATTTGCACATTGCTCTCCCACAAAGATATGTATTTTGAATGTCAGCATATCTTGGGATGTGCAGCTATCTGATTTTCTCATATATATGACCGCATACTGTGGCCAGCCCTGACAGAGCCAAACTAAGATCAGTATATGGAAAGGCTTCCAGATTTCATAGGTCTGTAGAAAGTAAAGTTAGAAGGGATTCCCAAAGCTCACTTGTGCCCTGCCCCATCCTCAAGCAGGACCAAGGGAGAAGTAAATCTTTCCTGCCAGGCGCCTGTCCAACCTGATCAAGGGATGCGATTGCATGGTACCTCTAACAAAATCTAGTTTAATGCTTCTTGAATTTTATAGTTAATTTTTTTTTTTCTTAATTTCTTATCATACCTATATATATGCAAATATATACATACACATACATTTTTACATGCATATGCATATATATGCACATACATAAAATTATGTATGTATACATAAACATAATGAAAGTGTAGACCCGTTACATTTTGGGTTTTTTAAAAGTCTTTTAAGAAAATAGCTAAACAAATATAGAAAGTAGGAACACTCATATCAGGTTCTTGAAGTGGTGCAGTCTTTTATTTTCCTCATTTACCCCCTTTACCTAGATTCGAAATTTATGATAATCGGTCTTTTGTAAGAGCATGTGGAAACTTTGCAGAGATGTATTACTGTCAGCTCTTTACACAGATCAAAAATGTTCCGTGCAGACAGGGCTTTGGAAGGGAATGCTATCTGTTTCTTCAGGAAATTAAACGCACAAATTCTTTTTGCATCCTTCCAGCTGTAATAAATAGCTGAAGGACTCAGTCTGTGGCTGTTTCTCTGAGCTTTCCCCTAATGGATCATTCAGATGAATAATTCAAAGGAAACATTTAAACTATTTTGAAGTGCACATGTTCAAAATGCACATGTTCAAAAACTGCAAAGTACATCACATCCCTGTTCTGGTCATTTTCTATCAACGTAAATCCATGGTCTGAACATCCTGGCTCAGGAATTTGCGAGTTTTTTTCTGTGTGAGAAGTCTCTGCAAAAAACCAGCTCCCCTCTCCTGACCAGTTAACGTAGATAGCTTGTTACTTGAGAGTGACAGACCATGTGTAGCTCTTATTTTCCTGAAGTGAGTGGTGAAAATAAAGTGAGAATGGCAGAGAACTGTCTCAGCTTTCTGGAGGAAGATGTTTTCTTTTTTTTTTTTGTTTAATAAATTTCTGCACAGAAACAGAGGAAGATCGGATGCCGTGAGAGAATGAATGGCATCTCAGCAAACTTCACAGTTTCTCTCAGCCCACTCCTTTCCTCTGACTGTAGGAGATGTGAGCTTCCAGGTGGTCCCCTGCAGAGAGGGCTGCCTTCCACAGCCGTTGTAGCCAGCAGAGCTGGCTCAAGACTGGGCTTAGTATGACAACCTCAGCAGACAGAACTGGTAGCAGAAGTCCTTTGACAAGTTGAGCAGCTCAGACTGGGAAAACAGCTGGGTTTAGCTCTGGTCACCTGAGCTTTTGTAATGACTCATATGTTCTGAATTTTAACTCTGTCAAGACAAACCTTGAGCAATACGAATCTTGTTTGCACTTTGCTCAATCTCCTGTTTTATAACCACAAAAAAAGTTCATCTTCAGTTGAGATTTTTGTAAGATTCTGTAGATTAACTACAACATTAAAATGCCATTTGTTTTAAAAAACAAATTTGTGTCTAAACAGAAGATGAGCCGACAGTTGAATGCAACTTTATTACATTATCCTTAGCGTTTTACCTGCTTTGCACTTCCATCTCCTAATATACTTTTTTGAAAAGGAAAACTGACATTCTGTGCATCAGTAGTGTAGGCTGGTTACTGAGTACCTCGTGCTCTACCTTGTGCTTCTTTCTGGAAGTGTTTCCAGGACTGCTTGTGCTCTACTGGTGCTTCCCTTTGAATTGTCTTCTGGAGGAGCCAAGTGCCACAATGGGGTCTCAATGCACAGGGGCAGCTTCATGCTAGAGGGTTTTCTCCTTTGGGTTAGAGGTGACCTCCTGGGTCAAACATTTTCCCTGTCCCTGCAATAAAGCCAGGAGTCACCTATTTCCAGCCAATGTGCCCAGGCCCTTGGAGCTGATGGCAGCCAGCTTGAGCTGCACCCATCTCCAATGTACTTTGGGTGGGATGGCTGGGGTAGGACGCTGGACCAGGGATGCTGCTGGCCCAGGATTCAGGGAACATTTTTACATGACTTATGGCCTTCTCTACGTACTCTGTCCCTAAGCTGTCGAGTGGGTAACTAAGAACTGGCATCCTTCTACTAAAAAAATCTGATTATGTATTTTGTGAATCTCTGATTTTAGGATGAAATTTTGACAGTCATCAGGAGGGTAGATGACAACTGGGCAGAAGGAATGCTGGGTGACAAGATTGGCATTTTCCCTATCCTCTATGTTGAGGTAAGTTCATAACAGGCAGTGGTGGGTGCTTCTCGTGATGTCTCGCAGGTTTTCTTGTGCCCGCAAGGGCAAGATAACCTTGAAAATTCTTAAATGAGAGGGATAGATTACACCGGAAAAACTGAAAAGGGAATTTTTTGCTTGCTGTCCCCTAAGGCGCTGTGAGGACACACTCAGTTCAGTTTAAGGTGGCCAGCAAAAAGGTATGCCCTGAACTATTGTTGAAGGTTTCCTGTGTAGCATTTCTAGTATAATCTCCGTAATACTTAGGGAAAATAGGGGAGGATGATTGCAGTTGGGGTATCTTGCATGCACCTGAGGAGAGGTGGGTGCTGCCGGCAGGTGGGGAGCAGTGGTGAAGGCTCAGCCATGTCCTGAAAGCACAGACCTTTGGAGGAGTGCTGCAGGTGTCCCCTGCGCCAGCAGGAGCTCGGGCAGCTCTACCCATGTGCCCAAGGTCCCTCATTCCCTGTGTTCCAGACCTGTCCTTGTCCTGAGCACGTTCCCACCGTCATTTCCACAGGCTTATTTCAGAGTAAATGCTGAGACCTCGTATCCTCCAAGCAGACCCACTGTGCTACCTCTTCCCATTGCTGTGCCCTCCTGCTGGTGCCCGTCCAGCTGGATGCAGTGAGCAGTGGTGGCCCCGCTGGAGATGCTCTGTTGTCCAGGTGCCACGTGGTGCCTCTGGGGAGCTTTCCTCCTTCATGGGTGAACCAGAGCTACAAAGAATGGATGGGCACCACGTGTGTATGTATTTTTCCGAGGTGCTGCCACCCTGTACCCCATACTCGGAGCAGTATTGTGCTGTCTCTGCTCCCAGGCGTAGGCTGGTGCCTCTCTCCAGAGTGAAGTGTCTCTTGTGCCCACAGAGGAGCCCGCCTGGCTGTGTGCGCCTCTGATGCCTGCCTCCAAAATTACTTCTCCAGATTTCTTAGTTAATGATTTGAGACAAAATAGAGATAATTAGTGCCTGACTACCTAATTATTAACTCCGACAATGACCAATTTGGAATAAACCATCATTAATATACATTGCGTTCCCACAGTTGACAAGAACAATAATATTAAAACCAGAATGTGTAGGAGCCATTATTGGGAAACCAGCTGCCTCGCATAAGTTAATGACTAGTTTTCCTCTATTCTGAATGCGTAAGACATTTTCAGTTTGTTATGATTAAATGAGGAAGCTGTGTTTCTCCCAGATTTCATCCTTTCCCCCTTCTCTTTGTTGTCCCCGGGATATGCTGTGTTACTGTCCTGAACTTTGCTGCAGAAAGAGTGAACTGGGGACCTCTGTGCAGCAGCTACAGTGTCACCCCACCACCTTTCCCCAGCAGGCTTCACCTGGAGGCTGTAAGTGCTTGCACTGCCTACACACCGAACAGCATCCCAATCCCTCTCCCACCCCAACGTATCCGTTCTCCTTAATTACTGCTCTCATAGGGTGAAGGGCTGGAAGCCTCAGAGGAGCAGCCTGTTGGGAACATGTGCAATGTTGTCTCACTGTAGTTCTCCAAGTGCTAGCACGTCCCGGGTGCCCACAGAGGAGCAAGAGGTAACACTGTGCAGAGTCAGAACAGCAATGCTGGAAGTTTCTAAAGAGATGCAAACAGCCAGGCAGCCAGCACCAAGGAAGAACTATGCACAGAGGAATGTGTGTGCATATACATTCATACACAGACACACACGTATATAAAATAAATACAACTATATACACTTATGCATATATTTGCATACCTATGCACAGGCTTATATTTTATTTGTATAAATTGGAAATCAGGAGGCTTGAAAGGCTTTTTAAAAGGAGATAGTTGGGTGTCATGAGCATAATAGCAGTGCCATGCTTTGTAAAGCTGAAGGGAAATGATCCTCCATACAGAAACATCAGCTGCCTATTTCATCCACATCCTGGTGGATGGAGGTCTTGTTCTGAATATGAGATGAGCTTATGCAACTGTTGGAGTTATACAATTATGTTGCTTCACATGTTACTTTACATTAAAAATTAAGAGGAATCAGCAAGCCAAATCCCAGAGAAGTTTTGAAAATCTCAGTGCCAATGTTTATAAAATAAATCCATTAAACAAGTAGTACTTGAATCTAAAAACACTCCTTGAGTCTGTCCAAGTCCATTAAGTAGTTTTCAAAATCTTGGCAAAATGTGCAGAATAAGCAAAGCTTAACTCTCACGGTAGCCTTCCACTTGTGTGAGCCGATAGTCGAAGTGCGGGGGATTTCACATGGCATCCAAAGCCCTGCAGCCTGGATGGAGCAAATTCCAGCCTGGAGCCCATCTCTAAAGGCAGGCACTGATGTCCCCAGCTGTTCCCACGGCCCAAGTAAGAGCTCTTACCCTTGCTGTGGCAGCCAGAGAGTTAGAAAACAAGTCAGTCACTTCAAGGCTATCAGAGCTAAGCACACCAGAGCTACAAACAGGGAATAAAATCCTTGTTGTGGCTTCCCTTTGGTGAGAGTTGGTCCCAGCACTGTGTTGCCAAGCCCCTCACACAAATATTTGCAAGGAAGGCTTTTTGCAAGTGCTCTGTTACAAAGCACTTGCACAGGCAAGGCTCAGGGGCAGGGGGGAGGAGAGGTCTACCACAGCCCTGCTGGGCCATCAGCGAGCTCCTCATCAGGACCCCACTGGTCTCCCAGCATTCAGGTTTGTCAACTGGCCCACACAAAAGCCTGCAGTGTCTCCCTAGGCTCCTTTGTCTTCTTTCCAACCTGTGCTTACTGAACTTGAGAGTGGTCTGCTTCTCTAAGAGAAGTCTGGGAGGGCAACTTTTAAAGCCAGACTGTGGTGTCACAAAACAGCAGCATAAAAAACTAGCCGAAGACATCAAAGTATATCTGCTCCCTGCAGTGTTTTAGAAAGTCTGCATCTCAGCATTATGTGTCGTTGCCCATATAGCCATATTGGTGTAATGTGACATGGATTTTATGCTTTATTCACTGCAAGTGTCCAGCAAGAGTGCTTGCATGCCTGCTGTGTCTGACTGTCTCTCTGCAGAGAGGCTTTTTCCTGCCTCTGTAGTGTCATCTCTGTCCCAACCTCAGAGAAGCTACAATCGTATAAGGAATAAATATTTGCAGCTCACAATGGTGACATTTATAGAATGAGTCACACACAGTATGTTCTGTCAGGTAGAGTTTGCACTATTTTTTTTTTCTTATTTTGCTGCTGTCCTTCATCTCCAGTAGAAGTCATTTGGGCTGATAATTTATGTTTTAATTTGTCTTCAGAAAAACACAACATAATCAAATAGATTCTCAAGGTGCCTTCTGTCCTGAAATAAACATCTTATTAATAATCTGTATGGTTTGAAGTCATATTCTCGCTGGGAGGAATTTTGGACCTGCAAGGAATTCAAAGTCCTAACTAAATTTATTTTACTGTCTTCAAGCTAGCTCCTTCATTCTTAATAACTGCTGTTATTATCTCTATTTGGAAGTTGTAAGTGTTGTGCCACTATGTGTAAAATTGAGAATAATGAAGAATAAAGTGTGTCCTAATAGATTTAAGTGTCTGGGAATGAAATTTGAGGGCAATGGTGTGCCGAGTGTTTGGAGGGATGCATCCTGCTTAAATAGGCAGGAACTGGAAATACAAAAAGCTGAGCTATTAGACCAAAACTTCTGACTGCAGCCCCCAATGCAAAGAAGTATTGACCGAGATCAAGAAGCCTTACGAGTCAGTGGTAGAGCAAGGCAATTATGTTGAGCGCTACTGTGACTGTAATATCAGCAAATTACAATTGATGAAGTGCCAGCCCATTGTTATAATGTTTTATGGCAGCAGGGGCACTGAAAGCTGTGATTAAGTAATATTAGGAGTTTTAAAATTCTTTTTACAGAGCAGTGAAGCAGGGTAATGGGTGTCTTCTCCTGTTCTTCACAGTCAAAGAGAGGAAAAGGTGGAAAGGAGGTCTAGGAGAAGGAGGGAGGAGGAGAATGGGCAGAGACAATGGTTTCAGTGCCCTGCAGCATAGATCCACAGGACTCCCCAGAGACCCAGGGGAAAAGAATTCTTGCAAGTCAGTGTTTGAAAAGAGTTCAGCCAAAAAGAAAAAAAAAAATAAAATAAAACCCAAAGCTAAATGAGTTTCTTAAAGAAAACAATGATTTTTCATTCCAAAATTAGCTTTGCAGAGCAGAGCACCACATTTAACGATTTTGTGCTGTGCCGCTGGATCTACCAATCATCCTGAAACAGCTTAACCCACTCAGGGGAACCTGAGCACATTTGCCAGGATCCCAGCTGTGGCTGTTGAATAGACCCATCTTCCCAACAGAATTTGACCGTCTGTGTGTAAGGACTTTGCTGAGGGTAAGCTTTAGTTAGCCTGCAGATTAGTGCAAATGGTTGAGAGTTTAGTGTGTGTGTGTGTGTCTGTGTGTTCAGTTTATCTGAAGATTTGGAGGTTTCCAGGAGGTGATGTAGGGGACCACTCTGAATCCCAAGGGTCTTCTCCAACCTAAATGATTCTATGCTTCTAAGCCCTTCCTATAGCCCTGCCTATAGATCTGCTTGACTTTGGGATTCTTTGGCACTTTCCTGGTGGTGTGGCCCCCAGTCTGGCATTCAGTCTGGATGGCAGATTTTGTACCTTTTCCCTCTATACGCAGATTCCCATCCTAGCCATTTCCAAATCCCCTGGTGTCCTCAGCAGCAGTCATCACAACTATATTCCTGAAAACTCAGATGTGTGTGTGTGTTTATTTGTGGCTCTAATAGATGTTTTGACCATTTTCAACAACACCAGCAAATAATTGTTGCCCTGTTCACTTCTTCTCTATGTTTTCTCTCTCCTCAATCTGTTTGATTCCTCCCTTCACTGCAGGACAGATGGGTCCCATAGGGATGGGACTCTCATAATGAATTCAACCTTGGTGTCTGACCCGTCATTTATATATGTGTGGTCTCTGTGGCAACACACTCTGCACCTTTCAGAGTATCCTTTATGAAATCCTTCAAAAAAAAAAAAAAAATAAAA